ATGTGATATTTCGAAAATGTAACCCGTACTTAAGCAATCTCGATGTCGCGGCACCGCAAATAATATAATTAACAACAATCCGGATCGCACGTAGAGTGCAGATTGACCGAGTGATTTGCATCTGAGAGAGAGATTCTATGCGTGCAGAATAATAAAATTACAGGCGAAACTTCTCGAATAAATTACTCTCCGGGCTTGTGTCTCGCTTTCACGCATCCGCTTTATTTGATCTCGGAATTTCGTGCCGAATCGGTTTCGGATACTTGCAAAACACGAGCGCACGCGATACATGTAATTATGCGCTTCGCAGCGAATATTTTCGAGACGTAGGTTAAATCAACGTGAAAATAATTAACGTGTCAATGGTTCATTTGAATGTATGTCGGATAAATAATTAGCGCGTGAAACACACGGTGAACCTTCTCACAAACTGAATCTCACCCTATTTCTATAAATAAAATAATGTTAAAATATTGTTTCGCTTTTAGTTTAGAGTAAATTAGTACAAACGGCACGAAAATCGATACGGTTCGTAACGTGCGTTTCGATACTTTGACACGAACAATGATTCACTGGAATTTCGACACGCGAACCATCTATTATTTACATATATAGTGTCTATAGAACTTTGACCCGCTTCTAATTAAGTAATTTAGAAAAGTACCTACGATTCTTATGTTTTTTGAAATCACTTCTGTCGTTCGCAGCAACAGAAAAAATCGGAAGTAAGTCAGTATTATCGAGTCGTCATGTAACGCATCTCCTTTGATCCTGTACTCGTACCTATTCTGAGGCGAAATGATGCGATTTACGGAAAATACATTCTATCGCAACGACGTTGTTCCCAGCGGGTGACGCGAGGTTGTCGCGGCATGCGTGCGGAGACCTTAACGTAACGGAAAGCGATTACACGCGGTTTCGCTCGGCGATGACGCATTAATCGCAATGACACTTTAATACCGGAAAGGACGTAGGGTATTTATGCGTCGGCTTTATCGTGCTACAAATATTAACGTATGCTTGCGTAGACTCGCTCGCGCCTGAATATGAGCGCGCAGACTCGCGTTCGAGTGACGTTCGGATAAGCGAATTTGCTCTTTGCAAAGAGCAAACACGGCTGCAGACTATAGATTGTATGTGTGTACATGTGTACGATAACTCTTTTACAAGATGTCAAAAATTCAATCATCGGATAGGATGTTAAATCCAGAAGAGTAACAGTTCCGCGTCACAGCTGATTTTGTGGCGCTTGTATTTTGACGGTCGTAATTGCAATTTTTATAAAATATTATCCGTTCATTACACAATAACAGAGTTGGTTAAAAAGCGGCATAAGTACGCTGTGTTTGAGCAATTTCGTGCTTGCGCGATAAGCCATTTTGCCGTGTAAATTTAAACCGTGCTATATTATTCAAAAGCGCATTTGCATCCATTACATAGCTTTATGCTGCGTTTAACAAACGATGGCACAATACAATATAGCAATTGTTTTGCTTGATAAACATACAGGAAGGTTGGGGATTATCGCTCTTCCTAATCTCTGAAAATGGAGCGTCACCGCGCGACGTGATGATCGCGTCTAAATATTAATACCGCAATAACGTGGGACGCGTTAATAATCGCTGAGCGATATTTCATCGAACGAGATCCTCCCGGAGCAAAAAGAGTAGACCGAACGTTCTCATTTCTACATGCTGAAAAGTTTGAAGCGGAAACGATGGCTCTAAAGCTGTTCTATAGCGCTCCTAGACGGCTGATGTCAGAATAACGTTAGAAATGAGATGTTATTTTACATTCGATGATTGCGCGAAATGACTCACGAAGAGGAATGAAGCGAGAATCATCACTTTGCCGGTGATCCGCGAACTGTCAGCGAACTTAACGAGACGTTATCAAGAGATACACCAGATATCTTCTGGCCCCGAGAGCTACCTGCCATAGCTTCCTATTTTATCGCATGCGTGGAAAATCGTTAATCCAAACACCCGAAGAAAATAGAAGCCTCGCAAAACTTCCTATTTTAAGCGTCGCGAACTTCGCACAATGGTATGAAATTACTTGTGTTTTATAGCGCGTTCAATCAATGCGGGAGTATAATAGCGTAGATAAATCGTTATTTTTAGAAACTTTATTTCCGGATCCCTTTATTCGCGCAGATTGGCGATTTTGTCCACGCGAGCGCTCGAGAATTTCGCGTAAACTCTTTGTCCACTATCGAACGAGTGTCGGCGGTGTAAAATTCGGTTCATCATCGAAATGGATTTTCAATCGGTTCAAGTCAAAAGGATTAAGTAACAACAGGAAAACAATGAATTTATTGTACCATTCGATGATTAAAGTAATATAATAAATAAGAGGAAATAATGATAGCTTTGTATATCTTCATCGCTTTTGTGTGCCTACATTGATATAATTACCGTGTCGTGAAATGATAATCGAATGTCCTTCGTTACGCTGAACATTGAATAATTTTCTTTCCGAATTCATCGAACCATTCAAATTCTCCCATTATAAGTCACTTTCAGCTTATCAGCTTTTCTTTTCCCTAATTAGTCATCTTCGATAACGGCTAGATTTTCGCGGGACGCGTGTTTCCGCTTTCGATATTAATGACGGACCTACCTGTTCATTTAATTATTTCATCAGATAAAAACTACTTTCGCCAGCGATAATCCGCGATTAGTGTAACCCGATCCTAATTGCTATGATAAATCACATGTGCATTTAATTGCCGACTCGGGAACTTCCTCACGTTATCAGCCGGGAAAGAGACTGAGAACGAAAATGAAAACGTGGGGGATATCACGCGGCTATAAACGGCGATTTGATTTCCGCGCGCTCGACATAATTTTAATTACTCGCTCGTCCTATAGAAAATTGACGTTGCCCGATTCCATCTTTTACTCCCTCTTTTCCTACTTCCGCCTTTCCTTCTCTCTCTTTCTATCGCTCTTTTCCAGCGGCCCATGCATTGTCCTCTCCGCCAACGTTCATCGATGGAGACACACCGTATTACGGGAAATCGTCCATACGCGACGCGCGTTTTATTTTGCTCGAGCTGCGGATAGCCAAGAATTTTTCAGAATGTTTCGTACAAAAGTACGTCCGTACACGTCCGTATCTCCCAACAACGCGATCGGCTTTGTCAAGAAACGTCGGTAATCGCGCCGAAGAGCAGCGTTTATCGTACCTTCCGAGTTCTCATTTCGATAGATATTTTATTAATTAAGTTCCGAGAGAAAAAAGAACTCGTCTTGTGTTTACGAGTCACATTCAACGGATCATACAACAGCGGTTACTCGCCACTTTCTTCGAGCGTAACCTGCAATAATATTTGTGCCCTCTGTCGTCAGTGAAATTACAAACTGCCGGAAGCGGCAATTCCGAAATATAGTGTCGACATGCACGACCCGTGTGTGTTGTGCTTTTGAATAATTAACCACTGTCAACGGCGCGCGGAAAACGTCGTTCTCGAACGGGTGTCTAATTAACCTTCCTTCGGTGCTCCGCAAACGCGTCCGCCGACAAACGCGGTTAACTTCGTGACGCAGCGCGCGCGGCGATTCTCAAAGGTCTCGCGTCCTCACCGCACATTTAGGGCTAAATGTAGCCGTCCCGACTATAACTTTCGTACTCGTAACTCCGACAGAGACTGACAGTCTTTACGTTAGATTTATGTGACTTTAAGGGGAGGTGTCAATTGACAGAGAGGGAGAGAAAAGACGACAAAGGGAAATGGAATTAACATATTCTTTTTAATAAAATATTCCACTCCTCGGTTACTTTGTCTCGCTAATGAAACTGTCAGAGACATTAATGTAACAATTATAAAATCGTAAGTATAATTTCTTTTTCCAACGAGACAATATATCGTCCCACGCAATGGATATAATTTATTTCAAAGTCCGTTGTTAATATTCAAATTCAGTAAAAAGTTATTCGCCAAGAGGGCCTATGGAAGAACAGCTGGTGCCGAAGTCTGGCGAGAGAAACAATTTTGCGAGTAACTCGGAATCGTTCGCTTTACGATCGCGTATAACACGGCGCTATACACGTATCTCGAGGAACCGACGGTCTCACGCTGCTGATCGCGTAAACGCTCCTGTTTCCAGTCGAAAGAGCAATAAACAGAGGCGCGATACACAAACATCGGCGACGACTCGCTCGCTACGCTCACCAGCGTACTCCAACATACGACACAACACTATTCTGGAAGCTTTGTGGTATTCCTTTCAGGGCTGTATGTAAGACGAACGTTCAGCGAGGAAAACGTGATTACAGCTGCGACGACAATGTACGAAGGACGGGAGGAAGAGCGGTTCGAGCGTGTCATTGTTCCCGGGAATTCTTTAACGATCAAAAGAGACGCCGCCGTAGAATTTCGTCATTGAGAAGTCGCGCGAACGAATGGGAACGCGAGGCTCGAGAGAGGTGTTAATGCGTGTGAGAAACATGGAAACTTAACGCGATTGATTTTACTAAATGCTAACGTAAAGTCGGCGACGGGGATGACGTGCGATCGAGAATTCCGCTGGATTTTCGAGCACGTTGGAAAATATGGAAATCGCGATATTGCCGGAAAATATTTCGACGCGACGGATTCTTCGACAAATTCGGAGATTTTTCGAAAACAAACATTTGGTAGGAAACGAAAATGATTTTCGTGACGTTTAACACTATTCATCAGCTAAGCCTTGAATACCAACTTTTTGTTAAAGCTCTTAGGAAATACATGAAACGAGATTTTAGCGTATATTTTTATTTTTACGACTAAATGGTCATCCCGTCCATCTGTATTTTTATAGCTTAGGGGCCATGATGTCTACTTTTACTTTTACGATTTAATAATTACCCTGCAACCCTAACATAAAATTCCTTCGTAAAGTTGCTTCTTTCACTACGAGAGAGAAGGAATGCGAACATTATGAGACTCACGCGCGCGTGCACACACACACACACACACACACACACACACACTTTTATGTACAATTTTACCGTACCGAATTTTCCTCGAAAGGAAAGGCCGACACCGAGGAATTCCTCAAGAAACCTAACACCATGTCCCAGTAGCGAATGGACACCCCGTAGAGCATAATTTTGAGCACGCACTCCTGGGGGGATTCCTCTCCGCGCACCGAAAACGGAAATTGTTCAAGGCTGTTCCAGGGACTCGGTTTTCCACGAAACTACATTTCACACGTAGAAAACTCACCGTAAATACGAGGATAATCCGCGTACTCTGCCGAAGGTATAGTCGCTTCTTCGGAATCTTCTTTCAGTAGTTCACTCTGTGGCACATGTCACACGAAACCAACGACGTTGTCAAATAAACGTAGGAGGGAACCGGAGGAGAGCGTTCCCTTTTCACTTTCGTCCTGTAGTCTCCTTTTCTTTCTTTCACGTCTCGAGATCCTGCTCTCCGATTCTCGCGCGCGCTTCTCGACCGTTGTCGTCGTTAGGTTAGGTCGCCGGTTCGTCGCGCGGGTAATCGCACCTATACCGCCAGAAAATCCGTTTCCTTCTTTCTTTCACCGACGATCGGCCATACATCAGCCTATCCCTTTTTCACTCACAAATCGCGTCCCTTACAATGCGGAGAATGCCCGACGCGAGCAGGTACGTTATACCACTCCTTTTTTTTCCCCCTCCACTCTATCTCTCTCTTCGGCACTGCAGATCGTTGGGATAGAAAAGTATAAAAAAAAAAATCAAAAACAACGCACAATGCACACAGGTCGAATGCAACGGCGATTTCTCCTCTTTGTTACGAAACTCACACAGCTCGTCTGCGTATCTTCTTTCGGAGAATTCGTAGATTACAGCTCGCGTCGTTCGGCGGTGCGAGAAATTCCGATTTGTCGAGAGATCTCGGTCGATCGGAGCCCCCAACGCTTGGATCGCGTTGCCGAGAGTAACACGACGCCGGGACACCGTTCTCGTTGTTCCGCTCACTCTCCGTCTCTCTCGATCCTGCCGCCGTCCTTTGTTCCTCACGGCTCGGCCGCTGCTACGTGACTGACCGCTTCGTGCGCGCTCGTGGTGCACGAGCTGCACCGAAGACGCCCGAGGAAGGATCCCGACGACGGTTCGTCGATCGGAAACGACCCTCGACGCGGAGAACCGAGGGAGAATCTTTCTTTGTTCAGGCGAGACCGAGCGGCACGACGACGACTCGTAACATAGTTCACTCTCGTCCTTTTCCTTCCTACGTTCTTCCTCTCTCAGTACCTCCTCCCCCAATTCACCTTTCCTTCGTATTATTTTGATCCTTCCTTTTCGCTCTCTTTCGCGCGCGTATATACACACACGCTACACACTCCTCTCTCTCTCTCTTACACTCTTTCTCTCCCACTTTCTCTCGCTCTCTCTCCCCTCTCACGCTTCGCGTCGACGATGCGAACGATCGCGCGGTCTGTTGGTAACTGAGACGACGCTCCGGCGGTGGAGGCCGAGTCGAACCACGGCGTCGAGACGCCACGGTGAATGGTGGGGGTGTTCGAACGACCACCACCACCATCACACCACTACCACAGTCGCCGCCGTCGTCGCCGCCACCACCACCGCGCCATCACCGGTGGTGTTCTTCCCCCCTCTCCTGGACGGCGCGCAACACCCTCGTCGTGCGGCATCAACCCAACGCGGCGCCCGTTGGCGTCATAACGGGTGGCCAAATCGAAAGAAGTCGCTGATACAACCGATCGATCTGTCGCACGCGTGCGACACTCGCGCGTGCAGGACAATAACCTTGATCTTGATTCGCAAATTTCGGAGCACCCGTCGAATCGTACGCCAACGAAATAACGTCAGGGCGCATATAACATATCAAAGCCGAAATGATTCAGGGAACGCGTCTTTTCGTCGCGTGAGAATTTAAGGTTCGCTGTTACCGAGCTGGTATATACGGCCGCCGGCGATTCGGGTAATTCACCGTGTAGAAACTGTCGATCGATGACGTCAGCGCAGCTAGTAATAAATGTAATAGAATCGACATTACCACTTTGTCGATAAGTGTGCATCACAAGCGCATTTTGCGCGGCGCCTCGCTATAAATAATGCACGGCTGAAGCGGCAGCTGGACAATCGAACGTAAAACCGTAACCAATTACGGACGGAGAACACAGGTTTATCCATGCCATAACCTATGATACAGTGTAGTTGCCGACGGATCGATAACACCCCTATCTATTACCACAATAAAACGTGACGCCTTATCATATTGTCTTTAAGGACTTTTCTTCCCTTGGTTTACGACCTGTCATTCAACCCCATCAAATTTTCGCGATATCGCATTTTTTGCACGGAAAAGAGCTCCATTATATTCTTATAGTTCTTCCCCCTCCCTCCGCAAAATATATAGTTTCGTGGAAAAACAGCAGCTTTAAAACGAAAAAGCGTCAGACGGGAGAATATCATTTAACTTGTTAATCGATGCAATTCATAATGACCGCACATGAAGATTTAATTATCACTTTAAACTCGGGTATTACGTATTTGGGTAAGAATGAAAAATTGCATTTAGACCGAGAATTAAATGGTACGAAAATTTGTAACAAAATATATATCACGAATCATTTGTGGCGAAACGAGCGGCCATGAGAACATCGGACGGCCCGGCGAGTAAAGATGAGGGATAGTGAGGAAAACTATGTTCGGCCGTTGTGAGGGAGAATGTTTCACATCCGTGGGAAAATTTCCTGCGCGCCGTGGTTTTTCCGTTTGCGTGGAGATCGCGGTTTTGCTTTCCTTTCGTCGGGCGCAGCGACGCGGTGTTTATTCTACCACCGTGTTGTCACTGCTACCACACACACACATCTCTATGCGCGATAATTCAGCATCAGCGTATTATTTGCAGCTGCATTCTTTGCGCCATCGCTGTCATTTCTTATCCTTAACCGTCAAAATATCGTTATTCTCGTTACACCGGCGATATAATTGGAGAATGTTGCGCGATGAAGAGATGATCAAACGCAAATTACGAAACCGAGCGCATGAAATATTGCAGAATCATCTCGCGCACATGAAGCGTAACGTAGAAAATATTATTTTGCCAAGGTGCATTATATAAAGAACGCTATACGGAGGTTTTTGCACGAAATCGAAGGTGTATCGTTGAAACGATGTCGCAATATCATGACGAAATTCGCACGCTATGCGCAAATGTCTATCTGTGCTCCCTTACTCTGTATTCGCGCGCACGGTATATCACATTTACGTCGTGTCGCGAATTGTGCAGCAGATTCTTTTTTTATTAGAAACGAAAGAAAGGTGCGCAATTTTTCAGGGGATTTCCTTGGCGCACGAGTCCCAGCCACTCGAGCGTTATTTCGTGACTAAGAAAATACTATCAAGGTAGGTAGATTACCGTACAGAGGGGAGAATATTTCACGTGGGCTGACACCCATGAGAAAACAGGCCCGAGCTAGCCAGAGGAGACAAACAGCCGGGTTTCTTCTCGCCACGGATTTGAGGGGTGGGTTATCATGCGCGGCAGACAGGGCAGCTCGTTGTTTGAAATGAGGCGAATCAATTATACGGAGATGAAAATCCGCGGCGAACAGTCGCAAACGAACCGGCGGCGGAAAAATGCCGGCAAAAGCGGAACGACGAAAGGGCGATGATGAATAAAAGCTGACACTTTCGAGGGGTATAAAATTAAAGAACTTCGAGGGCAGGTATTCTCATACAGGCGGCGAAAAAGGTGTCGTTGCGCTATGCGATAAGACGGTTATTAGTGTTCACGCAAAATTAGCTTTCGTTAACGCGGAGAAAAGAAAATTCAAAGCGAGAGACGACGAGAGAAGTACGGTTTTGCAACCGTCGCGCATTTTATATCTCTAATTTGTTGTCGAAGCGATCGGCGAATTGTCAACCCGCTTATTAATATCGGAAGTCACGGAGAAACATCTCACTTTCTCGCATTCTGCGCTCGTCTCGTTGCTTTTATGAATTCCGAATTCGCGTAGACGAGCTGGCATTAACTCTCGTCACGCACGCGACTTTCCAATCATTCCCGCCGGCTAATTCCGACGATATCGAAGACTGATGGAAATCAATTCCAATTCCACTAGACGTGTTCCCGCGGCCGCCTCTTCGTTTGGCCACCACAACACGCGCTTTTATTATTCCTCTATTGTATCTCGTATGAAGCACAATGGAGAACTACGCTTCCGTTGTGTTTTACTCGTCGCAAATGCAGTCGAGTATACTTCCACTGGATTTCAAGTTAACGTAAAATACGCACAATAGCGGCAAAGTAACGTCACAAATCGGCCAATTGGCCGGGCGTTAAATTATGACACGCGTAACGAGTTTTTGCCGGCGTCGGAAGAATAGCCGTACGGCCCTGAGTCCCGGTTCGAGGGGCACCTGCTCCGGATCCGAGAGACGTTACACGCAACGAACATACCCTACGTATTTTCTCTGGTCGGTTACATTCCGTTTCGTTCCGGGCAAACGGGTACAAAGGACAGCGGTTCTCAACCCACCGTCGCCGGACAATTACCGGGATACGTGAAAGAAAGCGCCGAACGGGAATTAAACCATACATCTACCAAGGTTCCGTCTCGCGTTTAACACGACCGTCTGTGAGGTCCGCTTATCTCACGCGAAGGTGACAATGCAATTACCATCTGACCTCGGCGATCAGACAAGCCCATTAGCGTGCGATGAATGCAAACCTTAGAAAAATTCCTTTAATCTCCGACCTTTTCGTATCGCTATTTACTTTTTTCTTATCAACGGGTCTCTCTCTATCAGCAACGTCTCCAAAGTGACTCATGGAAAAGAAATGCTATATTTCCAATACTAACTGCGTTGTGTATAAGTCACCAATGCTTTTTGACTTCACAATTTTGTTTTCTTTCCAATAAATCCGACGACGGTATTCGCAGCAGCACACCGAGAAGTCAAGCTGCTTAATTATTAAGTACGTGCGAAATTTTAGACTCGCTCGATATTTTTTTCTATCGTACTCTAATCGGTGTGTGCTACGAACCGACGCGAGCATCAGGAAACAGCTGACTTTTCGTGGAGGCAGCTGCTTCCTAAGTATATTTACTCGTCCGCTCGCGCGCGAGACCCTTCAAACCTTTCCCTCTTTTCTACGCTTAATGGCCACGCTATAACCAGTTATTACCTCACCTGAAATTACTTCGACGCGTGTGACATTAAAGCTACGCGTTCGCATGAAGGTTTCCATTTTTTTCTCCCCGAGAGCGAGCGGCGACAGAGCGAAGGTTCACTTTGACGGACGCGCGCGTTCGCCACTAAATCGACATCGATTTTAGGATCGGCCTTGTAAAATGAAAGGGACGTATGTTTCCGCTCGCGGATCCATCGGGATGTCTGGAGCGACGCGCCGGAAAACAGCTGACTTGTACTTTTTCATCGGAGGAGCAGCTGGTCGGCCAGTCCACGGGCCAAGAACCGTCTGCGTTCCTTATACCGGGTGTACCCTCGATCGGTTCATTTCGACATAATTATGCGCGCGAGATAACCTCCGTATTGCTCTTTGATCAGAAAGAGTAATAGCGATACACATAAGCGAGAGAAGTTGGTATTCTTTTAATGTTCGCCAAGAGGGAGGAGAAATATACGCGGTGGCCAAAATTTCCGTTATCGAGGGAGGTTGTAATTGAGTTTGGTGATATTTCTTTTTGCCACTGCAATCGCACGGGCTCGAGTTAGAAAGAAATTTCCCCAGATACCGTGATTCACGACCGCCGTAAAAGAATCGAATTAACTCCAAGGAACACGGACTTAAAAACTCGAATTGCGTTGCGTTAACGTAGTGAAATAAGAACAGCCCAGGTCAAATTGCGATAATTAGAGGTCACGAATAAAAATCGCGGAAGCGCCGGAGGAAATTTCCGCGCTTTCGATCGTTCGTCTTGCCCGAGTCATTTTGCCGGGTCGGTTTAACCGCGGAAGAAAAGAGCCAGAATTTACCGGCGATCCATTAACTCCTACGGTATTACCGCGCGGGTAATGGAAAGTAGACGGTACAGGCCATAAAAAACTTGGACGCGCGCTTGCTGCCGTCGTCTTGTGAATATATAGCGAAAGAAGCAGAAGCCCGCCTTCGGTACTCTATCACCCTTATCGGGCCGCGGATGAGTAACGCGTGGCGCACTGGACCGACACGATAACCGACTCATCCTTCTAAAATATTTTGCGCCACGTGTGGAATCGGCTCCTATTAATCTCCCGTGACTCTTCATTGATTAATGAGAGAGCTTGGTCCGCATTTTCGGAAAATCGAATGAGACGAATCGACGACGGCCGACGAGTAATACTCGCTGATTTCTAATTAATCTTTTCGGTACGGCAGATTTTCCCATGGAATAACCTGTTCATCACCAGATGAATATTACAACTTTTCCGTCCGTCACTAACACAATCCCG